GCTTATGGCAGGAGCAGGAAGACCTGGAGCAGCGAGCTGACCTCCAGAGGTCAAGAGAGACTCAGAATTAGGCAGGAACATCAGATGTTGGCAGGGTAGATGGACGGAGGAAACTCTCGGGTTCCCCAAACAGCACTGAGGGCCTGGATGCCCCGCGTCTGCTGGCTCCAGGGACTGAGACCCTGAGGTAGGCACCCCCAAATTGATATATGCTCACAAAGAGGCCCTGACATCACCCGCTTCCCCTGTTCAGCATGATCAACAGAAGGTCTGGAGGGAGAAGGGAGGGCAGGGCCTGGGTGGGCAGGAGGCTGGGAAGAGCACGAGGGGCCGGGCATTGGGGCAGTGCCATGAGGGGACGGTGGCGGGTCTTTAGCTGCTGCTCTGCTGCTCCTGCTCGCGGATGAGGTTGGCGATGGGTCTGGTGATGCCTCCTATCAAGGTCCAGTACTCATCAAAGCTGATGCGTCCATCGTGGTTGGCGTCTAGGTTCTGGATGAGCTTGTCAGCAGCTTTTCGGTTCCCCGTGTCCTGGGGAGGAACCTGGGTCAGCTATGCTGAGAGTGGCAGTCCCACAGAGCCCCCTAGGCAGAGGCCCCGGATCTGGCTCAGGCCTGGGTACCCCAAGAGGACAGAGGCCTGGGCAGGGTCAAGACCCTGGTTTGTGGGGTAACTCTGAAAGAACAGGGGCCGCACTGGGGAGAGAAGGGCCCTTGTGTGGGGGCCTTACCGTCAGCATGTGGTTGAGTTCGTGCTGAAGCATCTTTCGGAAGCTGCTCTTGCTGATCTTGTTCTTGACCAGGCTGTGCCTAGACACGTATTTGTAGAAGTTTTCCACCAGAACTACAACCGCCTTCTCCAGCTCTGTGTAGCAGTCCGCCATCACTGCCTCACTCCTCGAGGGGCCTGGGCGCCATGAGAATCACAGATGAGAAGAGCCCCCAACAGGCCACTCCTCTTCCCCCACCCGCACCCTGGGCCCTGGGTCCTCTAAGCTGACAGGTCCTCCAGGAGGAGGCCGGAAAAGGGAGGCACAGGGGAGGTAGCCCTGGAATGAGTACTATGTGGCTCTTCTAATCCAGGTGTTCCCCAGCTCAACTGCCTTAACAGGTTCTCCCGGCCCTTCCCCAGCCCCAGGCACTGGGCTTGTCAGAGTCCCAGTGAGAG